AAAGGAACAAGCTTAATTTAGTTAGGCCACAAGGTTGAGTGATAAACAGCATGTTGCTGTTATTGTTTAGTCAATTAAATCATCCCCTGTACTTGTAGGAACTGTTCCACATTTATTACCAGTGAGAAACAAGCTCGGGTAGTGTTGTTGATTTCCTTGTGTTGGATTGCGTTATACTTAGCACATCTAAAGATTTGAGAATGAATGGTGGAAGACACAGTGATAAATTGTCGAGCTTTTCTAAAGATTCAGAAGTTCTAAAGTTCCTGCCAGTGACAGATGGTCTGTCCTTACTCGTTGCTTGTCTTCCTGACAGGACTTGATTTTTTTTTTCTTTTTTGCTCAATTCACTTACAGTAAGTTCAGTTTCTTGGGAGGTGGGATAGTTTCATTTGTTATAATTGCATTACTGTATTTCGAAGTGGCATCAACTCTCTATGAACATGTCATGCTCTTTTTGGATTATTAGTGTGCACATGTGTAATGACAAAAGGGAATTATAGGATAAGAGGAAGAGAGGAAATGCACTACCAAGGGAAATCCATACCTCAATCTTTCTGTTATTTTGATAACCAAGCATACTATTAAATAGAGTCCTCACTGGATAGTGTTTTTTAAAATAAATATTATTTTAGTACCTCCAATATTTTATAATAATCAAAAACTTTTTGAAAATTTTGTTTAAACTGCACAACTACTGTTTATGAGCTTGTAAAATATTTCTAAGAATTCACACAATGAGCCCAAACAACTATAACAACGATGTGCTTAGATATTAAATAGTTTCCAAATGAAAAATGGAAAATTGCAATCAAATTTCTTAATTCCCTTCATCGATTTCAAATATGTTCACTGCTAAAATAGGAGATTAGAAGATATACTATTTAGATAAGGAAGGTGGGAAAAGAAAACAATTCCCTGTGGAAGTAAATATAAAGGCTTTAAAAATTCTAGCTTGTCTTCAAATAACTTCAAAAATCCAGAAGTAATTTAGCCCTCAAGTTAATAATGCCACTAGTGTGATATAGCATTATATAGCTGCAAGTGTTACCAGGTGGAAAGAGATCGACATTATTTAAAAATATAAAAACAATCAGGTTAATTGATTTGGGATTTACAATAGTTGTCTTCTGTTATCTACACAAAGAGCTCAGAAATTCTTTTTATGTAATTTTTTTTCATAAGAGTGCTCACTCCATATTATCTCAATTTGATAATACATGAGAAGTGTAAACAACATTATTGCTCCTTTTTCTCCTTTATTTCCTTTAATTCTACTTCTACTGTGAGTTTAACCTCTTTGAAGTGATACGCATATACGTGCATATATGTTTCACTGAATATATATATCATACTATAAATTTATATGTGTGTGTGTGTGTATGTGATGTATGTGTATAATATACTACTCCTTTAAGTGAGAGAATTCAAAGCTTACTGGATTTCCAAGGTCTAGGCGATTGAACTCCATTTTATCTTTTTATTCCCCTTACTAAATGCTCCTACCATTACTGATATAAGTTACCATTTTATTCAGTGGCTTTTTAGCATTGCTTTATTTTGGTAACATTCAATTTGAAAATCTCAGAGAACTCATGCCAGCCCACTGGTTATGCATGAAGATGTTAACCTAGACCTAGGGAAATTATAATCCTTGTTTAGTGAACATTTTCTCAGATAGTAAATGGAAGAATTAACTGTGTAGAACATTACAAAAAAGTTTCAAGCTTCTTTAACACATGGGGTCACAATAATAATACATGGATTTTAGTTGTGTATCTATTGCATATACATTGATATATAATTAAAAAGACAAGACATATCTGTCTTTTTATTCTTAAGGACCATTCTAGTATAATTGGATTTTCTTCTCCAGATAAAAATGTGTTGGAAAAAGGTTCTAAATATTCAATATTTTTGAAAAGGCCAACAAATATTGCATAATTTTGAAATCATGCCTTTATAAAATCACAGAAGTAAAAGTTACTCTAGTGAGTATGTTTATTAAAATTTATTAAGATTACAAAAAGGTGCATGGATGAAGTTAATAAAAATGCTTTTCTTTAAAGATAAGATGAGCTAAATTACTCTAACAAGTAGACCCAAAATGTATTGTTCCACTACTAAAGGTTTGTTTCATGTCAGCTCAGTACCGCAGCATAGAGTAGAAAAGGGGAGTCTGCTCAGTGCACTGGAGCTATTGTGGCTTCCAGGGTCCTCTACGCATGACGTCACAATCCTAGTAAGCTGGAATGGACAGAGAGCAGACACAAGCACATAGGAGGTTTTATGAGTCAGGTTTGAAAGTGGCATACATCACTCTGCTCACATTTGATTGGCTTAGAACTCAGTCACATGACCTTGTAATTCTACCCTGTAGTGGAGGATGGGAAATGTAGCCTACCTGAGTGTCCCAGCAGAAGGAGAGAATGGATTTTCATGATCATCTCGCAGTTTCTACCACATGAACCCTTGACTTTGCTTAAAAATAGAGATGACTTTAAATGATTATGCTATTAATATGGTCTAGTTTTTCTGATAAACTTTGTATCCACTCACTTGTTTGTAGGGTAGGGTATTTTTTAAATTCATTTAGTAACCTAAATTGGAGACTAAGTTTGAGGACTAATGATTTTAGAATAGTTGGTCAAATAGAACTGGTAGGAAACCTTGGAACTTGAGAACCCAAAAGAGATTCAAATAGACTCTTTCTTGAAAATGCACATTAAGACATATAGGACTCATACTGAAGGTTCACAGATACTTAATGCCCACCTATGGTGAAGAGCACTCAATTTAGAACATGAAGATAGATTATTTATTCATTTATCTGTAGTAATATGCTGATAATTGTTTGCTTGTAACAAATTTATACTGCTAAAATATCTTATATGTTAATACTCATGAATAAAACCAAAGACGAGAAGGAGAGATTATCTCCTTGCTGACCCTAAGCAACAGAGGATAGTACAATGAGTAGAATCATGGCTTTAGACAACACATTTGTCTTTCTTCTTCACAGAAATACAAGATTTGTGCCTCAATATTATTTCATGCTTTTGCCTAAAATACTTTAAGATGAAGAGCCATGGGTAAATTTTATAGTCTAGATAGTTACTGATAAGTTATTATCATAACTCTTACCTTCTACTTAGTCCATAAATGCTGTTGCACAAAACAACTTCTCATTTAGTAATTTCTACAGGTAATGCAGAGTGCTCATAGTTTAAATTTTGCTTTATCTGATTACATAGTGAAGGTTATTATTTAGCTTAAAATGAGGATAACTTAAGCTAAATAGAATCACTCTACCACTGTTACTTCAGAAGTATTTTAAATCTATACTGCCTATCTGTTTGTATTCACTTCTTTTTCTCTGAGTTCTATTTACAGGTTTTAGTAGTGATTTACCCCCTTCTACAACGTATTTCTCTTTATTTTACCCAGAAACCCACTTTTCTTATATCTTAGTTTCTAGTTTGAAGTCTTTTAAATCTAATGGAGCCCCACATATTTTCTATTACTTTTTATTGCTAATAAATTATTCATTATTTGTCTCTAGGATGATTAAAGTAAAACAATCAGAAAATTTGAAATAAGGATTACCATTACTAGTATAAAGTGTTTTTTTAGCGAAAACTGAAAACTGCCATAAGTTATATTTTAAATATTAAGTTTCACCTATAAGTGAAATACATATATTTCAAAAATGATAATAATAAAGCTTAAAAGTAGATAACATATCCTCAATTCTCTGATCATGTACTATCTATATACCTCAATAAAGTCACAGGGAACAACATGATGTATAATGGAATAGTATGAAACTTGTACCAAATGTTAAAAAAGCAAGATTCTACAACTAATTACTTTGAAAAAACATTGAGTCACATACCAAATATATTTCCAATTTTATTTTTTGTGATGCAATGCATCTCTTAGCAGGTATTTCTCAGTAGGACAAAGAATAGCCACCAAAATGCAATTCACATTTTATAACAACTCCTTGATAGCTATTTGAAGGCATCTTCATTTGAAACCCTATCTTTGAGTGTTATTGCTAAAAACAACAGAATTATCTCCTGCAAAATAATCTCACTTATTATATGCCCATGCCATGCGTAAATCAGAAGAACACATCTTAGAATATGTATGATAAGATTTAGCAGAGTGGAAACTTTGATATAGAAACTGCACCTACTACACACATACACACACACACACACACACACACACACACACCCCTGAGGCTTAACTTTTTTGGCCTAAGCCAAGAATCATTTAGAATAAATGTATCTGAAGTTGGTCAAATAAGAGTGCTACCCATATATTTTTGTTCTTTCTGTTAAATATATTTTATTTATTTTCATTTTATTAGCAGTCTAAAAGCTACTAAAATTTCCTACCCATGCTTTAATGCTAATATGTTGTCTATCACTTTTGGTATTTAACTTTGAGATAATTTAAGAATTAGATCACCTTAGAATACACATGACAAAAATTTGCAGGAAAATATAGAGCAGTTTACTTAGTCAAAACAGTAGAAAGCATATACACAGAGAAGTAGCAGAAGATAAGAATATTAAATTAGAGCCAGATTGTAGAAGCTATGTACTTTGATATTTATTAGGTAGATGATAAAAAGCCATCAAAGTTTATTTTGAGTAGCGAATGTGATTTGAAATTTTATCTCCACTCTCAGTTAAATCACAAAGCAGTACATTTTATTTATGTATTTTTTTCTGTTGAAACCCATGGTTTTCTAGGTTTTGATGAATTATATTTTCAAATTTAATTAGCAAGTATACAGTGCATCTATGTTTCAAACACAAATGCTTCTACAGTGTTTTGCTAATGATTTTTCCATCTTCAATTAAGTAACAAAGACCTTTCTAACATACGAAGATTCATTTTTTTTGTCATTTGCAAAGTATATTCATTAGTTTGGTTTGTTTTGCGTGATTAATTTTGACTGATAGCTGATTTGTTTTCTATTCTAGGTTGTGGAGACGAATTTGGTTGCTTTTGACTGTCACTGGATCATTATAAATGAGGTAAAGCTAACTAAACCTTATCGTTATCTCTGTGTCCTTTTTTCACATATATAATTGTCGCATTTCCAATCCTTGAATTGGCCTTGAATTTTTAAGAGGAAACAACACGTGAAGTAAACATTCAACTTACTGAGTGAATGCTGTTTAACAAAAATAGAATGAAGTTTTTAAAAATGATAAGGGGCTTTATATTAATAAAATAAATGGAGAAAGTCTTTCTCACTGAGTATCTTTTCGCTCTTTCTGTTGGCTCATACTGCCTGCTCAAGGAGATCATCTTTATAAAAAGTACAGTTCTACTTTGTAAGCAAAGTAAACTCCTCCCAGGGGAGTGCTTGCGTTCCATTTATATTTTAATGTTGTTTCTAGAACTGTTAAGTCCACCCTCTACGTGAGTATTAAAAAGTTCAGCATATGAATATGAATAAACAGAGAACAGATTTTTCCCTTTTCATAAGGAAGTGCAACTGTTTTCAAATCTTTAGACTTGTCAAATTCTTGTGAAAGTCTTTTGATTTTTGCAAAGATAATACATAAGATTAAAAATATATTACAACGTAAAAGCCCTATGAAATAAGTTGTTCCATTAGCACCTGCCAGTCAGAAATAGAAGGAACACGAGCAGATCAGTCATGGACAAGTAATGTGATCACGTGGATTTTTCCTCAACAAGATGTAGTACTTGGTCATAACTATTACTTATGAATAAAAATAATGTATTATTTGTTCATTATACTAAATACACAATTCTAGACTAATAAGGTTTGTTTTATGGACAAAATAGTATTTTTGGATAAGAATCCTGGTTTTCTAGTCAACAAGACAGGTTTGATCCTGGCTATGAAACTCGGTAGCTGTCTTAACATGGATATCAGCTTCTTGTGCCTCAGTTTATTCATTTGGACAAGTATAATAACAATTACCTTGCAAGTTCATAATAAAAGTTAAATGAGGTATTATCAGGTGCCCTTAACATAGTGCTTGACAAATGACACTCAAGAATGGTACTGCAATAATGATCATATCACATTAAAACTCAGAGATCATTCTCTTATATATTATTTTGTGGAATACTAAACCATATTCTCTGAAGTACTGAAGGAATGAAGTCCATAGAGAATAAATTATTTTTCTCTTTTTACACAGAAAAGTGAAAATAATTCCCAGTTTCAAGTTGTTTCTCTGACACTACACTTCATTGATTGAATGATCAATTTTTTTTATTTCAGAGTAAAGACACTGAAACCACCTTACAAGTCTGATTTTGGTCTGCCAAACTTTAGGTTTCTATGAATTTTAGCTGTATTTCTCATGCCAAAATAAGATAGGTTTTTCTGAGATTTCCTCAGGCAATACGTATATGGAGATCTGCTTTTCAATAAAGTTCTGATACCTTCTAAATTACTAGTATGTCTTAATATTCATGTGGAATAACTAAACATTGCGATAGAGGGAAAGACAAAGCAAAAGGAATTTAACAAACCTTCGTAACTTTTCAAATTAAGTATTTTCATTTCAGTTTTTCTCCAAGGAAACTAAGTTTCAAACAAATTAAACAATTCAGCAAATATTACACAGCTATTAGTGATGATAATGGGATTTAAAGCTTAATCTTTTTCAGTGTAAAGCTTTGGTTGATTTTGTTTTGTCTGTCTTGTTTTTAGCTTTTAAGTTCAGGGGTACATGAGCAAGTTTGTATGTAGGTAAACTTGTGTCGTGGGGGTTTATTGTACAGATTATTTTGTCACCCAGGCATTAAGCCTAGTGCTCATTAGTTATTTTTCTTGATCCTTTTCTTCTTCCTACTCTCTGCCCTTCAGTAGACCCCCAGATGTGTTGTTACCCTCTTTGTGTCCATGTGTTTTCATCACTTACCTCCCACTTATAAGTGAGAACATGAGGTATTTGGTTTTCTGTTTCTGCATTAGTTTGCTGAGGAAAATGGCTTCCAGCTCCATTCATATTTCTGCAAAGGGCCTATCATTCTTTTTTTGTGGTTGCACAGTATTCCACAATGTATGTGTTACACATTTTCTTTATCCAGCCTACTATTGATGGGTATTTATGTTGATTCCATGTCATTACTATTGTGAATAGTGATGTAATGAACATAGGCATGCATGTGTCTCTATGATAGAACAATTTATATTCATTTGGGTGTATTTATATTGGGTATATTCACCCAGTAATGGGATTGCTGGGTGAAATGGTAGTTCTGCTTTTAGGTCTCTGAGGAAATCACCAGACTGTTTTCCACAATGGTTGAACTAATTTACACTCCCACCACAAACAATGTATAAACATTCCTTTTTCTTCACAACCATGCCAGCATCTGTTATTTTTTGACATTTTAGCAATAGCCATTATGATTGGCGTGAGATAATACCTCATAGTGGTTTTGATTTGGATTTCTCTAATGATCAGTGATGTTGAGCTTTCTTTCATATGATTATTGATCACATGGTGTATTATTTTGAAAAGTGTTGATGTCCTTTTTTCCACTTTTAAGTGGAGTTGTTTGGTTTTGCTTTACATTTTTTAAGTTCTTATAGAACTTAAGAATAATAGACCTTTGTCAGATGCATAGGTTGCAAAAATTTTTTCCCCTTCTGTAGGTTGTTCACTCTCATGATAGTTTCTTTTGCTGTGCATAAGCTTTTCAGTTTAATTTGATTCCGTTTTTCAATTTTGCTTTTATTGCAATTGGTTTTGTCATCTTTGTCATGAAATCTTTGCCCATTCCTATGTATTGTCTAGGTTGTCTTCCAGGGTTTTTATAGTTATGGGTTTTACATTTAGTGTTTTAATCCATCTTGTGTTATTTGTTGTATATAGTATAAGAAAGTGGTCTAGTTTTAATCTTCTGCATATGGCTTGCCAGTTATCCCAGCACCACTTATTATTAAAGGAAAGTGTCCTTTCCCCATTGCTTATTGTTGTCAGCTTTGTCAAAGATAAGATAGTTGCAGGTATGCAGCCTTATATCTGGGCAATCTCTTCTGCTGCATTCATCTGTGTGTCTGTTTTTGTACCAGTATCATGCTGTTTTGGTTAGTGCAGCACTGTAGTATAGTTTGAAGTCGGGTAGCATGATGTCTCTAGCTTTGTTCTTTTCCCTTAGGATTTTGTTTTTTCATACATGCTTTTTGATACATTTTCACTTAGAATTTTGTTTTTGACTATGAAAACAACATCGTCACCCACTGTTTAAGGCTCAGTTTGTACTTCGGAAGAAATGGTCTCTTCATATGATATAGGTGTACCCTGAATAGATTAACATGTATTTAATTGGTAATAAATAAATATTTTTGATAATTATCTTGATGGTTTATATTTTTGAAATTCCTCAGTTATAATCTTATGGGAGCTATTTATGTCACTAGCTTTTTTTGGTTTTAATTTTTTTCTAGCTTACTTTTTTGAAATAAAGATTCTTCTAATTTTTTGTTTTTATTTCACATCCTACCTTGGACAGGGGATAGACAACACAGATTTCCTGATGCAAAACCAGCTGAAGTCATTTTACCTATTCATGTCAGTCAACCTGATTAGAAAAATAAAGTGACTTCTTACCTTCTTAGATAAATTGATTAATTTAGATGAATTAATGCTTATAATCACTAAATTGAAATGGCCATTCTCCTCTGACGGTTGATAAGATTGCAAAAGGACCCCCTTAATTAATTTATTTTTTATATGCAATTTAGCTTCTACAAGTATACCTGAACTTAAAAGTATAAACTGAAGTAGAACTTCTGAGAACAACATGGTCATTAACCCACTGTTTAAGACTCCATTTGTACTTTGGAAGAAATGGCATCTTCATATTATATAGGTGTAGCCTGAATAGACTAGCAAGTATTTCATTGGTAATAAATAGTATGGAAAGAACAATAAAAATTTGTTTTCTTGTATTTTTCATAAGTGTTACGATTCATGTTTTTAAATTTATTAAATTTTATTTCATAAAATATTAGAAATGAAATATTGTCATTAAGTAGATGCTCCATAATTTGGGCCACTATTTTGCAAAATAAAATATCCATATAAATAAAGCAATCTAACTGGTAAATAACTCCATAAATGTTAGAAGTCTAGGAGATGATTAAGGAGACCTCAATTATTTTCTTATCCTTCAAACTTAGGTTTTCTACTATGAACTGTCTAATAAAACCTCACCATCACAATCACTGAAACCTTTATCTCTTTCTTACCCACAGTCCTACTTTCTTGTCCTCCAGCAGAGGTACAATTTCTTTTGGGCAAGTCACACTGCCTAGCCTCTTAAAAATACAATGTCCACAACCCATACCATTTACATTACACTGGTTAGTACTTTTATCTGAACAAGATTAAAACTCAGAGCATGAGCAAATGTTTTCTGTATTTTAACCCATAAAAAAAATTATTGGCTGGTATATCCAAAATCAACACTCTCACTTTCAAGTTATTCCATTCACCCACCTTATTGTTCTTATTCATCCACTGTATTCTGAAATATGCCTCAGAAAATGACTTTTACAGGTTTCTTGCACACTTTTCATTTACATGCTTGTTTATAGGAATTTGTAATGGATGAATTATAATGTTCCCTAGTTTCTATAAATGAAAAAAAAAAAACATGGATTTCTCAAAATTGCTAGGAAGCTAATAAACTTTAAATATAATAAAAAAAAAACCCTCAAAATATGCAAATGCCCATTTTGGCTGAACATGGAGAACATGAATCTGTCTAGTTTTGTTTGTGTAGCTATTATTTTGTTGCTAATTTTAAAATGGGTTGCAGACATTGATTTAATCTTATTGCATCAATAGTTTTTAAAAGAGTGAATATAAATCAAAGTTGGCATTGTGCATCATGATAGAAATTGATGTAGAAACTTGAAAACAATATATTTTTTTCATTTGCATTAAGTGTGCTATAATAATGACAGGCTGTGCTAGCTCATATGGTGTAATCAATCATATGTTAGTGCTTGGTAATAGTATTTATCTTCTTTGCGCAATCAGTGGATCCAGCTCAGAGCAGCCTTTCCATGCAAGTATTGTCATCCCTTCAGGGCCCTAAAGCAGATGGCCTAACACTTTATTTAAGTTTTACAAAAGTTAGAAATTCAGATAGGAAGATGTGCACTGTTCAGATCTGCAAGAAGCACAATGCTTCATGTACCCTTCTATTGCCTGATAATATAGAATATGACCTTTGTTGTCTTGATGTGATTTTACTGGCTTTTTACTTAATTTGAATAGTTTAAGACATTATTCTCTGTTAATCTGAGTACTCCTGAGTACTACATTTAAGGAGAAAGTTGTTGGTTTGAGTTTTTTTGGTTTTTTTTGTTTTTGTTTTTGTTTTCTGACAGAGTTTCACTCTTGTCACCCAGGCTGGAATGCAATGGCACGATCTTGGCTCACTGCCAGCTCTTCTGCCCGGGTTCAAATGATTCTCCTGCCTCAGTCTCCCGAGTAGCTGGGATTACGGGCATGTGCCACCAGGCCCGGCTAATTTTTGTATTTTTAGTAGAAATGCGGTTTCACTATATTGGTCAGGCTGGTCTCGAACTCCTGACCTCGGGTGATCTGCCCGCCTCAGCCTATCAAAGTGTTAGGATTACAGGTGTGAGCCACCGTGCCCGGCCGGTTTGGGGGGGTTTTGTTGCTGTTTTGAGATTTAAAAAGCCTATATGTGTAATGGATGTTTTTCATTTTTTCTAGTTTAATGATGAATTGAACTGCTCACTTTTAAGCTTTCAAGTAGAAAGTTGCCATTCTGCTACTCTTCCTGTTGGTACATAGCCTACAGTTGGATTTGTTCCATTTTCTAACATTTGCATAATTGATTCATATTAATGTTAAATTTTACAGAAGCATCAAAGGGTCATCTTTGCTAAAATATGAAAAATATAAACAAATAAGAAACAAGCACCACATAGTAGAGGGCTTAATCTTAATAGTAAAATCTGCTTCATTTAGAATTGTTTAACATTTTAAAGCATTCTGGTGTCTAGAATTAAAATTTCAAGTATCAGTCTTTAGAAGATAATAAAATCTTACCATTCATTCATTCATTAAATCTTGCATTTATCAACATTTATTGATACCTAGTATGAGCCAGTATATTTGTTAGATGCTAAGAGATATAAGAATGGGAAAAAGGAAACTATTCCTCTGAAATAGTTATTTTTAATCTGAATTGGCATCTGATCTAATGGATTCTGAGAGTCTTTTCTTCCCCACAATCTTATTCATTTAAACATAAAGCTGATATACTACAAGGATTCAGGAATGATTCAATTCTCCTAAGAGATTTCTTCTGGGAAAGGGCTGTTTCTAGATGGGGTTGTATCCCCAGAAGGTATTTTAGCATTCCTTTTTTCTTCCTTGGGGCTTTCACAGCTCAGGATTCAACCTACATTAAATTATTAAAGCAAAGTGAATAAGAATATTTTGCCAGACATATTGACTTTGATTCTTAATAATTTTCAAATATCTAGGTAAATTACTTTTGGGAAAAAAGGCTTGCTTAGCCTAAATAAGTAAAATAGAAAAAGCTAAGTCACTAAAAAATATTTAATCATTTTTATTGCAATGTGAATTCTACTTTTATGAATATACTCAATAAAATAAAGAATATAAGAAGGAAAATAATTTTATAATTTGGGTTCTTTAAATTACTTACAGCTCAGGAATACTCTATATCTTTTAAAAGATTAAGATATATAGTGGTTCTGTGGGCTTGGGAGAGTGAGTACTTTATTGGTAAACTAGTTCTTCACATGATTATTTTTAAAAATCTGACAGTTTAAACATTTTTTAAAAATTCAGAGCATTAGAATAATATAGATCCTAGTAGACTGCATAACATTTTAATATACGAGTTTATTTCTGGAATTTTTTTCCATTTAAATGGATCTCTTTATAGATTAAATGATCACTTGTCTTTCAGTGTTTATATAACATTGCATCTGCCACTCTTGAAATGCCCCTTTTGAAATGCACATGTAAAGTTCCGTAAATATAAAATAGCTGCCGAATCAAGTTTTCATATCACTGTTAAACTGTTTTTGAGATCACATGTCAAGACTAAAATTGCAAGTGAATTTTTTGAGACAGATTGTCTGTTAGTTTCATTCAGAATGACAGATTCTTTCTTCCCAGAAAATTACTTTCTCTTCCCTTCCCCATATAATAATAGGCAAAATACATTCAATTCAAATAGATATTTCTTCAGATATATTTTAGTTGTTTAGGTGCCTGAGAACTTCATCTTTGGAAACCTATGAAAGGTAACCATCCCTTTTCCCTTTTTGTGGGTTTGAAAAATGTCCTCTTAAAGAATTTGGCTCATGATAGATGACTACATCATTCCTTCCAGAATCATCAGGAAATTAAATGCTCAAATAATGTATCTTTACAGTTTTAAATTCTACCATTCATAAATATTAATCTAAATAATTCCTGTAAGGAAATATGGACTTGTATAACTTCTTCAGAGACTGTTTCTTTTGATGACATTGATAAATTCATCCCATGAATAGAATATTATGAATGAAGAGCTTCAAGTCTTCCTGAATCTTTGTTTATAAACTGAGAATAAATAGCATCCGATTGAGAGTATCATCTGTTAGCAGAAAATGGGATAATAAAGTAATTAGTATTTTGCTTAACATATAGTAGATATTTATTAAATGTAAATTTTTATCCAATATGCTGATTTGTCATTCATTGTGAGTGGTGTAGATACAGTATTGTTTGATAAAATGTTGATAAATCTTAGCATTGCTAAAGCAAAAAATACCACATACATAAAACAACTTAGTTAATATTATGAGAAAAGTGGTACAATTTTCCACTGCCTTTCAAATGAAAGTTCCTGTCTTTATCATTTGTAATTTTAAAAATTGAAAGACATTGAATAGCAATATTAATATTAATTAACTTTAAAAGATGTCTGGTTAAAATCAGGGCTTCAAATGGAGTTGACAGGATACCATTTAATCCTACTTTGTGAGTAGATTACATAGAATTTAAAAGCAGCCTGCTCCTTGCCAGACAAAGTTTTTGGTGGCCACTGAAATGACACAGACTAAAGGAAAAGGATGGCATTTTAAATTGAGAAAAAACATTTTTACGGAACATTAAGGATTGATTAAATGCCCAGAAATCCAGGATATTGCACTAGATATAGCTGATGACAGGCATTATTTTATTCTCAGAACAATTTATACTTCATAAAGAGTATATATAAAGGGTGATTTTTGAATCTAACATATGCTACAAGAAAGAACAATATATAATTGATCTGGTAAGGAAATAAAGAAAATTTACACCTATGAATTATCTCTTTTATTTCATTCTTCTGTTATAATTTCTTAGATCAAACCTTGGAAAAACTCACTGCAACCCAAAACGTATTTTGTGTCTAATCTTTTAGTTATGTTACCATAAGAATTGACTGAAACCAATAGTATATTAATTACAAAGACTTCATTGGATTAAAAGGTTTCAAATGAACACTATTAAGCACAAACTTCTCTAGTAAAGACTACCTTAAAACGAAAATTTATATTGATCACTTTTATCCTAATTCCATTTAGAATAGATAAAATTTGTTTAGATAAAATTCATTTAGATAAAGAGCACTGGGTTTCTCATCTCATCCTAATTCAGACTGTATTAAGCAACAGAAGTTTTCATCTACTCCTTACCAAGAGAAACATATGAGTTAACATCAATAATTCTAATAAATTATTAGAAAAACTCCTTATATATCCTCTTGCTCTACTTGCCTCGGTTAAAAGCCACATTTTTCATTGCTAATTGTGTGTGTGTGTGTGTGTGTGTGCATATGTATGTGTGTGTATGTGCACGTGTATAACTCTTACATGGCAAATACCTTCCTAGATACTCAAAGTAATAAGTAATTGAAATCCATTAATTAATAATAAACTATAATTGCAACTTACTTTGTGACCTTTTTAAATGTTTCGACCACACCTATATGTTTCTAAAATGTTCAACATTATAAATTATAAACTTATTAATAACCGTATGTAAGTCAATTGCTTCATTTAGAATTGTTAGGCCCTAATGTATATAATTTAAAGCACAGAAAGCAACTACAAATGAATAGATCATTTTAACAAAAATATGTTGCTTTCTTCGCTAAGCATTAAGGCAATATATTACAGTAACAGAATCCCTAACATTTACAGATAACAACTCAGTAGATTTGTGTTTTGTTACTGTATTAAAGTATCTCTAATTCTTCCACCTCTTATCTTATAGGAAATAAACGATGTGGATGTACAGGAACTTGTAAGAAGGTCAATTGGAAGGTTAACGATTATTCGGCAGACATTTCCAGTTCCCCAGAATATAAGTCAGCGGTGTTTCCGTGGCAACCATCGAATATCTTCAACATTGTGTGATCCAAAGGATCCATTTGCTCAGAATATGGAGGTATATTATAAATGACAGGGTATTTCTTCCAGGGTGCTTCGTTGGGCAATTGCAAGGAGAGCTTTATGAGTTGCATTGGATTCAGAATTGTGTGTGTTATTTCTGAACAATTCTCCTCCTCCAGCAATTTCATAAGTCTGATGGGGAGAAAGTGCTAAGAATTTGTGTCTTTGTTCCTTTTGATCTCACTATAGAAAAAATTCTACTTGTTTAATTAAAAATATCATAAGTAAAGGTTATTTTCTTCTAAACAAGTAGGTCCATAATATTTCTCACAGGAGAATTTGTAGTTGGAACTACTGATTCCAAACTCCAAATTATTAAACTAATAAATGTATTTGACTTTCCTGGCATAAGAAGGACATAGATACTTATTCTTTTTTAAAAAGATTGATCTCCTGTTTGAATAACTCCAACCAAAAAAAAATAAATATGAAAAATGTGCTCTAGCATTTTATGGTCACATCCAACTCCAAGAGGATATAGCTGAAACCTTCAGCATCCAGAATACAACAAAGAATTTGAAAGGTATAAATAAAATGTCTGAACAGCAAAACAGAGAACACCAAGTCCCTGTAGCTTACTCATAAGAATGCCCTTTAAATACTTACTTGAAGCCTGTTTCTTTTTCTTAAGGAAAAGCCTCTCTGATTTGTTTTCACTTTGCACTGGAGATCTCAATATGTCAATCTGGAGGGGCTGTTATACAAAGCAAGCACACAGGACAACAGCACCGAGCCTTAAGGAGCCCTCTCAAGGCAAGAGACAGGAGAAAAAAATCAATCAGATAAACTAACTCATATATCCTGTCAGCATAGGACTCTTCCTGCAAAAACAAATCTGTGCCATAAAACAACTCCTAAATTTATTACTGCACTATAATGCTAGCATATAAGTTAATATTTAAACAATAACCCTGAGATATCAGCAAATATTAAAGGTATCATCAATTTTAGAAGTCAACAAAACCTAATATATTTTAGAAACCTGTTCTTTAAAATATTTACTATAGGAAACATTTTTATCATCATTATTATTATTATACTTTAAGTTCGAGGGTACATGCGCACAGCGTGCAGGTTTGTTACATATGTATACATGTGCCATGTTGGTGTGCTGCACCCATTAAATCGTCATTTACATTAGGTATATCTCCTAATGCTATCCCTCCCCACTCCACCCTCCCCACAATAGGCCCCCGTGTGTGATGTTCCCCTTCCTGTGTTCAAGTGATCTCATTGTTCAATTCCCACCTATGAGTGAGAACATGCAGTGTTTGGTTTTCTGTTCTTGCGATAGTTTGCTGAGGATGATGGTTTCCAGCTACATCCATGTCCCTACAAAGGACGTTAACTCATCCTTTTTTATGGCTGCATAGTATTCCATGGTGTATATGTGCCACATTTTCTTAATCCAGTCTGTCACTGATGGACATTTGGGTTGATTCCAAGTCTTTGATATTGTGAATAGTGCTGCAATAAACATACGTGTGCATGTGTCTTTATAGCAGCGTGATTTATAATCCTTTGGGTATATCCCCAGTAATGGGATGGCTGGATCAAATGGTACATCTAGTTCTAGATCCTTGAGGAATCGCCACACTGACTTCCACAATGGTTCAACTAGTTTACAGTCCCACCACAGTGTCAAAGTGTTTCTATTTCTCCACATCCTCTCCAGCACCTGTTGTTTCCTGATTTTTTAATGATTACCATTCTAACTGGTGTGAGATGGTATCTCATTGTGGTTTTGATTTGCATTTCTCTGATGGCGAGTGATGATGAGCATATTTTCATGTGTCTGTTGGCTATATGAATGTCTTCTTTTGAGAAGTGTCTGTTCATATCCTTTGCCCACTTTTTGATAGATTTGTTTGTTTTTTTCTTGCAAATTTGATTGAGTTCTTTGTATTATTAGATATTAGCCCTTTGTCAGATGAGTAGATTGCATTTTAGTACTTCGAGATTTTCAGTTTTAACAGTTTGGAAATATAAGCCTAGGAAAATTAGTTACTCTCTAATAATACTAGATAAATAAGGTGATTTTGCAAAACTACTCTGAAAAATAACCCCACAACCTCCCTATCCTTAGTCACCTTTGAATTTTTAAAAAAGGACTTGCCATTTATCCAAACATTTCTTCCAATTATTATCATTATAGTGCACAGATTGGCTCTAGGATCATTGAGCTGTAACTTTCTGTTCCCTACTACATTTTAAGCTCCTTTAGAATAGTTTCTTTCCATGACCAGGTACAGTGGCTACACCTGCAATCCCAGCAATCTGGCAGGCCAAGGTGGAGAATCATTTGAACCCAGAAGTTTGAGACCAGCCTGGGCAGCATGGCAAAACCCATCTCTGTAAAAAAATATAAATAAATAAAAATTAAAATTAAAAAATTAAAAATAAATAAATACATTAGCCAGGTATGGTGGTACCCACCTGTAGTCCCAGCTACTCAGGAGGCTAAGGTGGGAGAATCACCTGAGTCCTAGAGGTAGAGGCTGCAGTGAGCCAAGATTGTGCTACTGCATTCCAGCTTGGGTTTCAAAGTGAGTCCCTATCTCAAAATAAATATGTCCCTTCAAGAGCCCAGCATCATAAGTACCCATAACGTGCTTCTCTACCATTTCCTCCATCATAATTACCACAGTGCTTTGGATCTGTGTGAATATATATGTTTGAATGTAATTAAGGAGATGGCAATAGTCAAAGTAAATCCTCTGAAGCCTTAATGACGTCACTTTAAATTTCAGTTCCACCCTTATCTATATGTGTATTATTTCATTCTCACACTGCCATGAAGTACAGGGAAGAGGTTTAATTGGCTCACAGTCCTCGGGGCAGGGAAGCCTCAGGAAACTTACATTCATGGCAAAAGGGGAAGCAAACACGTCCTTCCTCACATGGCAGCAGGAAAGAGAAGGCCTGAGCAAAAGGGGGAAAAGACGCTTATAAAACCATCAGATCTCGGGAAAACTCACTACTTTCATGAGAATAGCAAGCAGATAATCGCCCCCATGATTCAATTACCTCCCACCAGGTCCCTCTTATGATACGTTGGAATTATGGGAACTACACTTCAAGATGTGATTTGGATGGGGACACAGTCCAACCATATCAATATGCTTATAATGTCCCATGTTTGCATTTTAACTGGTCATGGATATAATTGATGTGAAAATGATAGAATTCTAAATAGAAAAAAATAAATGAAATAATTTTTGATTTAGAAAATTATAAAATATTAAAATTTGTTTTTGTCAAAAGAAGTATCAGGAAATGAAATACAAACTTAAGAAAAATTATTGACTGTATCATTTAGGGACAGCAGAAATTATTTTATAGCATATTTGCCTAACAACATAATCTTTCCATTTCAGTTGATGAGGACTTTAATATCTGTGAACTAATATTTTATTTATGTCTATATTCCTAATCTTACCTGAAACAACAAAGCTGTATGGGGAAGCACCAACTTCCTCCTGACTCATACCTTCATCTTGGTCCTGTCCAACCCACAGATGGAAGAAAACAAGAGAACTACTTTTGCTTTGAGGATTTGTTACATGTTAGCACCCCACTTATGTGTGATAGAATTTGATCTCCGGACTGTTACTGATTTTAATATACATAGGCAGAGAAGTAAAATTTAGAAAAAAGCAGAAAATACATTTCACAAACTTTTTAATTAGCACCCAAGGGCTGAAACCCAGGATTAGTTGAAGTTGCAAAATAAATATAAAATAACACCTTTTAGCTAGAAAATGGTATTTTTAGCAACATATGTAACAAGCAGGAAGTGATCCATTTACTGCTTGATGGAACTAATATTAGTTTGGCTGCTAATGGAGAGAAAACAGAAACATTCCAACACTTTTGCTCCTGCTTTCTCCATCTAAGAAAAATTGTCTTCAAATTGGGAAGCTTAGAGTAAAATTCATTAAAAGAAAGTAATCCACTGGTTTAGAAGGAACAGGGAGATAGTAAGAGTAGACCCACTGCTTTGAATTAGGCTTGCCAAATAATTGCTCAGAGTACCAATCAGTCAGCAGGAATGATCAAAATATGATAGCTCAAAAATACTGGAGAAACACTTAAGAAGAGGACCAAGGTACAGGAGATAGGTGTATTGTCCCAATTGTTGAAAGGAAGGAAAAAAGATTCTCATGGAGTTTAGCATATTAAATGTTACTATTTAGGTAAACTGTAGAATATATTACTAAATCAATGGTTTGGAATACTTCAGATAAGACAACAGGGCTCCCAATGCCATCGGTGTGTGATGTTCCCCTTCCCGAGTCCAAGTGATCTCATTGTTCAATTCCCACCTATGAGTGAGAACATGCGCTGTTTGGTTTTCTGTTCTTGCAATAGTTTGCTGAGAATGATAGTTTCCAGCTGCATCCATGCCCTACAAAGGACACAAACTCATCCTTTTTTATGGCTGCATAGTATTCTATGGTGTATATGTGCCACATTTTCTTAATCCAGTCTGTCACTGATGGACCTGATGTAAATGACGAGTTGATGGGTGCTGATGAGTTGATGGGTGCAGCACACCAACATGGCACAAGTATACATATGTAAGAAACCTGCACGTTGTGTACATGTACCCTAGAGCTTAAAGTATAATTTAAAAAAAAGAAAAAAAAAAAAACAGGGCTTCCTTAAAAACAAGCACTGCCAAACTAAGCCCTTATTTATAGTTTTGTTTGTTTGTTTGTTTGTTTTTTAGATTGGGAGAATGTCATAAACCTATATGTTGCTTATTGATTTTTTGCATGGTGTTTGACAAATTTTTGCCTGAAATCGTTAGGAAAGATATTGAAAAGTCTTGATAGAATGATGACATTCAAACATTTTCACTGACGGGCTCCTAAAGGCAGAAGATAGTGAACACTCTGGCCTGAGATAGAAAGCAAAATAAAGCTCAAAAATATTTAAGTCTCATTATTACCTTCAGAAGTTATAACATTTGTGTATATATAATTAAAAGTAATACTCCAAATGATTTGCCAATTGAACTATTTAGTTGTTTTTCTCCAAATCTTCAAACAAAATTAATATTAATATCTAAATGAATCAATCAAATCTTCAAGCAATATTGATATGACTAGAATATGCCTTAGATGTATTCTGTGGCTTCGAGCACTTCCTGATATCCACAACCTACCACCAGAGTTCCTTTGTCCTGAGTTTGAGGATTGTAGAACCAGATGAATATTCAAACTGCACTGATAAATATTCTATTCCTGAAATGCAAGGAACTGTCTATGGTCATTCACAAGATTCTATTCTTGGACCTAATATTTTTTAAATGTCTATCACTGCATGAATGAAAATGAATAAAACATGCCTATCAAATTTGTAAATGGCATAAAGCTAGAAGAGAAAGTTTATGTTGTACTAGATAATCAAGTTCCAAATTGTTAGTGTTGACTAAATAATAAGCCTAAAATTTGAAACAGCACAGATAAAGTATAAGTTCAAAATCAATTACATGAAGCCTAGATGGAAGAATCCTGGTTTGACAATTGTTCAGATTCCTTAAGTTGAAGGTAAATTCGGTGTGTGTATCGCACAAATCATATTTGCAATAACTATTTTAATATAGTTGTGGTCTGTATGTCAGAAGAATTTTGCTAAGATAAAGAGATCTAATGTCTTACACTATTCTCTCCTAGTCAGATCACATCTGTAATAATGTGTCAATTCTGGATACTAAATTTTTAACAGAAACGTTGAAACACAAGAGAAAAATGAGAACTAAGATGATCAGCCTAGAAACTATACCAGGTGATGAAAACTAAAAGAAAGATATTTCAAAGCAAGCCATAGATGGTGTCAAATATTGAAAGCTTGTCACGTAGAGGAGGTGAGTGTGGAGGTTTGGTGATGTCAAAGGACAAATGTAGTGCCAATAAGGTAGGGAGGAATGATTGGTTATATGTGACATACTAGAGTCTATGATTTTAGAGGTGGTGCATGTTTCTGTCCAGTCAGTAAATGGTCATTTGTGTTGGTCGAGGCCTAAGTAGAAGTGAAGATCATCTGTATAGGAATTGAAGTGACCTTTTAAAATGCTGAGAGATAGTTTGGTATTATTGTGAAGGAGGGGTCAAAGGCCTTACAAATAAAAAAAATGACCAAAATCTCAGTTAATGATGACAGAAAAAAGCGATAAAGTGTAGCATAGGAAAGAATGTGAAGCTCGAAGAATGGGCACTGGCCTGCAGTCAAAAAGTGTCAGATTAGGAGGGGTAATGAAAAGCTCGGAGAATATTACCACCACTTCTTGATCCTGCAGTTTGGAATGTGGACAAATGAGGAGACATAGTCATTTACTGAAAACTCCTGTCACGTAATAGGTACAAAGTACTCACCTTTAAGACTAGCATAGATGCTCAAAATACATGCCTCAGGGTCTGCAAAAGAGAATGTGCCTCAGCAGTGTCAGGTTTGGATAAAACCCAGGTTACCAGAATTTTCCTGTCTCAACTTCCGTCAAACACACTTGGCTTTAAAATTGACTTTCGTTTTTTCTCCTCTCTCCATCCTTTGTCTTCTTTTACTTGACAAGTGTTTATCAAAAACCAAATATGTGCTAGGCTTTAGGCTAAGTCTAAGAGAAATAAATTATAGGGAAAAATGGAGGAGAAAAGATATACAGTATGAGTCCCCATCTAGGAGGAATTTATTTTTTGTGGAAAAGGTAGATTTTAAAAAAGATTTAGTATTCTGATATGTTTCAAAGGCTTATGCACTGTGTGTTCCAGTAGATAAAAAGAGGTGGTCTTTGAACTAAATATTGAGAAATGTTAACTAGTTGGAGAAAGGTGAGGAGATAGCAAGGGATGCTTCCCCAACAATCTTAAATACATGTTCACCAAAGGGAAGAGTAAAATAAAGCTAGAGAAGGAAGAGGAAGTAAGTTTCAGGCAGTAGAACCAGGAGAGGTTAGGAAAGGGCAGACGGTTGTGTGTTATTTTGATTTCCCTGGATGTGTGTCCTTCATGTAATTTATATATTTTCCTGTTGGGTCTTTACTGCCTAATTCCAACCTGGATGTTGATTCATGGACTAGATTTAGCTGTATAGCAGATTTCAGCCATTCTTTTGTAGTCTATCTAGTAATTATTGGGCAAAATGGGGAGTGGCTGGGATGGGGAGTGAAAATAGTCAGTCCTAATACGTCCTTATGAAAGACAAACTTGCATTGCACGTAATGCATTGAGTGTTCAATGTCTCTTCAAAAAAGTCCTGTAAGTATTATATATATAAAATGATACTTCACAAACACAAATGATTGAAGATTTACATGGTATGTAAAATAAAACTCACAAGGCACTGTTAGGAATTTCTTGTTAAAAGCTCTGAATAGCATCAGATTCTAATTATCTCAATAGCCAGAGCTTAGTACCATCCTGTGATGTGGGTAGACTACTTTAAAAATTTCCTCCATGATTAAATATACCCCGAGGACAATCCATATACTCTCCCGTGTGTTTTTAGGAAAAACCGCGATAACAATATCCTTCTAAAAATCTGAAAAACACAAATGCTTTAAGATGGAATTAATTTTCATCACTACATTGATTCCTCATTTTTTAAATTTTATATTGAGTTTTTCCTTCAGAGGAAATATAACATTAAGCAGCTTTTATTGACCAAGGATTCCTTTTGGTATTACGTTTTCTGAATAATTTTTAACTTCTTCGAAAAATAAGCAGCTTTGATAATTAATCGACAGTATAAATAGTATCTCTGGCAAAACTTAATTGTAAGAATGCAGTTAACCTTAGCAAAAAAAAAAGGCTATAATTTATTTTTCAATCTATGTAGAAAGAAGCTAATAACATGGTTGCCTTAGAAGAAGCAAGTGTTAATGTAAACACACATTCACAAACAGTTAATAGTTTATGATATTTGTGAAATCAATGAATTGCAATGCATGTGTATACCTGTATAATTTTGTATAGATCCTTGATCACAATAATATTTATAAATGGTCCTGTTCTTTCATTATTTCCTTACAGAGTCTCCATATACACAAACATACACACAGTTGACTGCTTCCTTTTTATGTACCTATGACACTCATATATGAGATCAAGTTGATATTTTTCCATCTGAATAACTAGAATGCAAAACCTTAACATATTCAGAAAATGTATTATTCAGTTTGTCCTTCCAATCTTAAACCCTTAGATTCTTACCTCCTCAGAGAGAAATAAGGGCCAATGATTTTCTCAGGTCTAACACTAACAGCCTTATCTCTGTCAAAATTTCTTTCTTTCTTTTTTTAATCTTCTCTTTCACACCAAAATAAGCTGAAAAAGCAATTGAGGCATACAATCAGACAAGACTTCATTCTCAACGACAAAATTGCCTAGGAAATGACAAAAGAAACCTTCTGCTTAATAACTCAGTAAACCAGCCATCTATGACATGAACAGAAGCAGCTGAGACAATTATTTTTTTCCTTATTCTTGATGACTGGTGTCAATGATTCTAATGATCACTTTCTAATGTCTTTTCAGATTTCCAACCTTTACATATATGACACGGTGCTTCTGCTTGCTAATGCCTTTCATAAGAAGCTGGAAGACCGAAAGTGGCACAGCATGGCAAGTCTGTCATGTATCAGAAAGAACTCAAAGCCATGGCAGGGTGGGCGCTCCATGTTGGAGACCATCAAGAAGGTAACTTCTTAATTTTCATGTAAAAAGGATAGGGTAAATAATTATTTGATATATTTTAGAAAAAGGGTTTCCTCTCTAATATTTCTGCCAATTCAAAGCACAAAACAGTGTAATGGGGAAATAAAATATTGAAAAAGGAAAAGGGTGAGAAAGTCATCAACATATAAAAAGGGGAGGCTTCCTTATTTATTCATAAGGGAATTTTATGCGAGTAAAAAATGTGTGGTTGAGATATACTGACTTGACTGTCACTAGCATTAGAGATACTGAAATTATTTTGGTGCCTGTCACGAAGTACAAAAGGTTTTTAAAAAACATACATCATCCACTAAAAAAAAAAAAAAAAAAAAAACCAGTAGACTCAATTAGCACTTTTCCAGTTAGATAATATACATGGTAAGAGATTGAACGTGATGGTCTTTAATTTATCTCATGATAAGGATAGGATTCATAAGTAGATAACATGTTGCAGCATTTGTGAACTATTTGGGGTAACTGATTGCATTATTCTTCTTCACTGTCAATGTGTTGCTTCTCCCAGCTGTGAATCTGTTTGGCTTAGCTACCTGTTCCATTCCCAGAAGGCAGTTTATGTTGTTTAGCTCCTCTCAGTGGTGTAAGCATTCTGTAGTTTATTAGACTCTTTGTCATGTCATCCTTCCTGACATTTTCCATTTGTCTTGCACAGCCTCTTGGATTTAAAATGAAATGATTAATAAAACAAACAAATTCTCCCATACCCTTTACACAAAGGAGACAGACATTTGGAAGCTTATGTTTTTTATTTTATCCATCCTTTTTCTTTCGCATGTATTTTCCTTTCTTCCCGGAAAACAAAAGAAAAATAGCTAGTCAAATGAAATATAAATGACCTTAAAAAGTCGGAGTAAAATATAAAAAAATAATATTAGAAGTAAGCTAGGAGTACAAAAACTAGAAGTAGAGGAAATAAATATTTTAAATAGAGAAGAGCCTGAATCTTTCTATTGGTATTTGTATCAGTCCCTTTTCTGCTGTTCTAACTGTTTACCACAAATTGGGAAATGTATAAAAAACAGAAGTTTTTTCCACATGGTTCTCAAGACTGGGAAGTCCAAGACTGTGGCACCCACATCTGGAGAGGGTCATCTCATGGCAGAAGGGCATCACATGGTGAGCAGCTGCACAAGATAGAGCGAAAAGGGGGGGCAAGACTTCCTGGATAACTAATCCACTCCCATTATTGGACATTAATCTATTCATGAGGTGGCATCCTCATAACCTAATCACCTCAATGTCCCTATCCTTAATACCATAACAGTAGCAAATAAGTTTCAATGTGAGTTTAGGAGGGGACACTAAAATCATAGTACTCCATCCCTGGACCCCCAAAACTCATATCCTTCTTACATATAAAATATATTCATTCTATCCCTATAGTTCCAAAAGTTTTAACTTGTTTCAGCATTAACTCAAAAGTCCAAATTTCAAAGTCTCATTTAAATCAGATATGGGTGAGACTCACATGATTCATCATGACGCAAATTTCTTCCAGCTGTGAAACTATGAATTCAAAACTGATTATCTACTTCCAAAATGCAGTGGTGGGACAGTCATAGGATAGACATTTCTATTCCAAAACAGAGAAATAGGCAAGAAAAGAACGATAACTGGTCCTAAGTAAGTCTAAAACTCAACACAAAAAATAACATTAAGTCATAAAGCCGAGAAACAATATCCTTTTATTCCATGTCCTAATTTCTGGATCCACTAGAACAGGGATTGGGCCTGCAAGGCCTCAGGCAACCCTGTTCCCAGGGCTTTGATGAACTCAGCTTCTGCAGCTCTCACAGGTTGGAGTGACACACTGTTTTAGTCCTACAGTTCTGTGGTCTTAGGGATGGTCCCACTTCCATGGCTCCAGTAGTCATTGCCCTAATGGAAACTCTTTGTGGCAAGTCCAACCCCACATTTTTACTCAACATTGTCTTAGTAGAGGCTCTCTGTGGTGGTTTCACTTTGGAGACAAGTCTCTGCCTAGGTCTTCATGCTTTTTGCGACATCCTTGGAAATCTTGGTGCAGGAACCCATAGCCACAGTTCTCACACTCTGTATGCCTGAAGGTATAACACCATATTGATGCTGCCACAGCTTACCATTTGCACTCTACAGAATGACAGCCCAAGCTTCACCTGAGTCCACTTGAGCCATAACTGGTGCAACTGAAGAATGTTACACTGGAATGTGGGGAGAAGAGTTGCTAGGTGACCCTGGACAGGGAACCTATGATGAGTGCCTTGGGCATATCCCCTGAAATCATTTTGCCTTCCTAGAGCCTGTGAGGGCAGCAGCAGCTTCAGAGATTTTTGAAATTCCTTTTAAATTCCTTTTAAATCTTTCTCCTATTGTCCTGATAAATAGCACATCGCTCCTTTGTAGCCATATTAATATCTTTAGCAAACACTACTTGACTGCACCCTTGGCATTCTCTCCTGAGAGTCTCGCTTTGTCGCCCAGGCTGGAGTGCAGTGGTGTGATCTTGGCTCATTGAAGCCTCCGCCTGCTGAGTTCAGGCAATTCTCCTGCCCCAGCCTCCTGAGTAGCTGGGAATACAGCCACGTGCCACCACACCTGGCTAATTTGTTTTGTATTTTCAGTAGAAACAGGGTTTCACTATGTTGGCCAGACTGGTCTCGATCTCCTGACCTCATGATCTGCCTGCCTTGGCCTCACAAAGTGCTGGAATTACAGGTGTGAGCCACCGCACCTAGCCCTGAACATACATTTTCACTCTTTACATAGCCAGCCTGTAAGTTTTTCAAATGTTTTGTCTGCTTCTCTCTTAAATATAAAATCTATCTTTAAGTCATTTCTTTCTCTCAGATCTTACTACATACAGGTAAAAGTAACCAGGCAGAAGCCTGAATACACTGCTGTTTAGAAATTTCTTCAACCAGATACTCTACTTTATTGCCCCTAAGTTCTGCATTCTACAAAGTCTTAGAATATGGCCACAATTCAGCCAGGGTGTTTGTTACGTTGCAGCAAGGATGGCTTTCAATCCAGTTTCCAATACCCTGTTCCTCATTTTTGTCTGAGACCTCATCAGAATATCCTTTACTCTCCAGATTTTTATGAGTATTCTGGTCACAACAAATTAAATAAACTCTTAAGAAGATTCAGACTTTCTCTACAGCTCTCTCTTCCAAGCCCTCACTAGAATTGCCCTTAAAGCTCTACTCAGAGCAGTACAATTTTTTTTTTTTTTTTTTTTTTTTTTTTTTTTGAGACGGAGTCTCGCTCTGTCGCCCAGCCCAGGCTGGAGTGCAGTGGCGCGATCTCGGCTCACTGCAAGCTCCGCCTCCCGGGTTCACGCCATTCTCCTGCCTCAGCCTCCCGAGTAGCTGGGACTACAGGCGCCCGCCACCTCGCCCGGCTAGTTTTTTGTATTTTTAGTAGAGGCGGGGTTTCACCGTGGTCTCGATCTCCTGACCTTGTGATCCGCCCGCCTCAGCCTCCCAAAGTGCTGGGATTACAGGCGTGAGCCACCACGCCCGGCCCAGAGCAGTACAATTTTTTATTCTTAGTCCGATCCTTCAAATTCTTCAAGCCCCTACCTTTATGCAGTTCCAAAGTCACTTCCACATATTCAAGTATGTATTATAGCCACAGCTCCACTGATTGGTACCAGTTTTCTCTCTTGATTTGTTTCTGCTGCTAGAATACGATAGACTTTGTAATTTATTAAGAACAGAAATTTATTTGGCACACAGTTCTGGAACTGGGACATCCAAGGGCTCGGGGCTGGCATCTGATAAGGGTTATCCTAGGTGAAAGGACACCACTTGGCAAGCAAGTGCATGAGACAGAGACAAAAAGGGGACCAAACTCTTGTGACAATTAACCCACTACTGCAATAACAGCATTATTCCATTCATGAAGGCAGAACTCTCATGACCTCAATCATCTATTAAAGTTTCTACTTCTTAATACCATTACAATGGCAATTACATTTCAAGATGAGTTTTGGTGGGGATTTCAAACCATCGTAATGTTGTGTCTTCTTTGCCAAGGAAAATTTTAATGAGAATTTTGGCTGTTATCAACAAAAGTACTTGAGAATTAAATGTATTGAATATATTGGCAGAGAAAGACTTTTCAACTGAAAAATGAATAAGTCTAATCTAGCTTCAAGCTGTTGCCAAAATCTTCCAGCCTTATCTATGTAGAGAGCTGACAGGTATAAATCCAAGGGAGGTTATTGAACATGATTCTAATCCTGCCAATTTATTAATTCATGGTTTGGCTAGGATGTAGGAACCTGAATATATTTATTCTTCTGAAGCTTTCATACAAAGACGAAATAATAGATTAAGAGGTTTCTTAGGAAACACTTATTTAGTGAGAGGATCAGGAGGAAGGAAAGAGAGACACCATAATATGTCAGTATTTCTCATGTGGAAATTTAATATATAAGATACTACTATTAGAAAATTTATAACCCAAACAATTATTTAATACAATAATTACGAAATTTTATTTTGTGGGACTATGTGTACATTTGTCCCTCTCAGCTTCTGCCCCAGTGTCATGTTTTAAAGAAATGTATCGGCCGGGCGCGGTGGCTCAAGCCTGTAATCCTAGCACTTTGGGAGGCCGAGATGGGTGGATCACGAGGTCAGGAGATCGAGACCATCCTGGCTAACACGGTGAAACCCCGTCTCTACTAAAAATACAAAAAACTAGCCGGGCGAGGTGGCGGGCGCCTGTAGTCCCAGCTACTCGGGAGGCTGAGGCAGGAGAATGGCGTAAACCCAGGAGGCGGAGCTTGCAGTGAGCTGAAATCCGGCCACTGCACTCCAGCCCGGGCGACACAGCGAGACTCCATCTCAAAAAAAAAAAAAAAAAAAAAGAAATGTATCCATTCTTTGTGTCAAGAAACTCAGTTGGAATAATATACATGATTACAAGTGTTCAATGTTATATTTTTGTCTCATATTTCAAACTGACCTTAAAATTGA